GTAAAATAAATATATTTTTTCAAATAAAATAAATTTACCCTAATTTTTATATTTTTAAATTAGAGATAACAGTTAATTAATTAAGACATTTATTGAAAAAGAGGAAAAACGATATGATACGAAATTCTAAAAAAATCATTTTACGTGTATTTCAAATTTTAAATTATCTAGATGTGACGTGATTTATTAGCTAAATATTATTTTAAAAATAAAAATTTTCTATAGAATAAGATAGATGTCATTTTCTAATAAAGAATTTTCAAATTTAAACAACTTGAATTCATAGGGATATTTTTGTAATTTCACAATAGCCCAAATAATTGACTTTTTTATGTATGATAAATAACAAAATTTTAATGAAAATTTATAAATATTGTCATCAAAGTCGACACATTATTATGGTAAATAAAATAGATGAATTAAAAAAAATAGAATTCCTTAAAAGGGCAAAAAAGAGAATAATTTTAATTCTCATCATATTGTTTCACCTCGGAAACCCTATATTAAATCAATGAAGTTTGAAAGTGTAGAATTGGAATAACTTTTAAAAATTTACTTTTTAAACATTTTTTTTTATACAAGTACATTTGAAAATTTTAATAATTTTTTTAAAATTACCATTATGCCCTTCATGAATCGGTCAAATTAGTTCCGTCCGACTTGTTGGGTCTTCTCGAGGAATCAGTTAAATGAGTCCAATTCAAGGTGTTATTTACTTATATATTCTCACGATATTCCCCTTAAATAACCAACGTGAGACTCGACCAATAAAGACATAAACATAAATGCCTTATTTTCAATCCTTAAATCCTAAACAGGTACGAAAATTTGTTTTCAAATAAACGTGAACTGTTCCTCGAATAAAATTACAAACATGGGATAGTAATGTTGTGAGTGAAGCATGATTGATGGGAGTCAAAATCTCGGCCGAATGATAAATACCCAGAAAAGATACCGCACCGAATAGTAGAAGTTGCGAAGGAATAAAAGGAATGATATTTTAAAAGGCGAGAAAAAGAAAAGTGAAAAAAAGGAAAAAAAAAAAAAAAAGGAGTTTGGGGAAGAAAGAGGAAGGAAGAGAGGAATGAATAATGGGTAAAATGAAAGTTGAAAAATTAAAAGAAAAATATTCTTGCTGTCTCTTCTTCCTTTCATTTCCCTCTCTTCCAACCAAGGTTCTTCCAAAACAGAATCCTCCTTTTATCCCCATTTTTCTTTCCAAAAAAATAAACGCTCCGCTAAAACTCTGAGAGACCGAGCGACCGATCTTTCAAATACTTAGCTATCGTTCAGTTTAATCGTGTTTCTGTGTAGAGTTCAACGAGTATTAGAATTGAGAAATCGAACTGTCTATCAATGATATGATTATAGATGTTTTATCTGATTTAAAGAGATGTGTTCGAATAGGCAAAAACTCCCGTAATCGAATTATCTTAAATGACGAGCTTAAATCTCGAATTATTTATTTATTTTTTAATGGGTAATGCTTAATTAACACGTTAATGCGATACAAAACATAATAGATTTTATTCCTTTCATAATAGGTAAGTAATTAATAAACATATTATATATTGGGTTGGATGTATGATTATATTTATTTTAATTGAAAAAAGTACCTACCATGAAAGTGTTGAATAGTTATGATATCAATATATTATTGGGATTAACGATGATAATTATATAAATTAAAAACAAGAAACTTCTATTTGTATGATACATCAGTTTCATTGGGCCAAGGTCCAAAAGTTCAGGCCCATTGTTCAGCCCAATAAAGCAAACTGTGAATTCTTGGCAGCCCAATCTCGTTTAAAGGCCAAGCCCACTAAATTAATGGCATTTTAAAAATCTTTGAATTTTATACTTAATAGGTTTTTTTTTTAATTTTTTAATTAATAAACCGATTATACACCGAATTAAAAGTTTAGGTATTCATCAAACCATATTAATAACAATTTCTTCAAAATAAATGACATTTATCGATCGCTCACCTAATAAAATTTTAATTAAAGGCACGAGGATGACATTGAATTCATTTTTTAAATGTAAAAGATGGAATTAAAAGTTAATTATTTATAATTATTGTGGTGATGGTTTTCTCCAAATAAAATAAAAATAATAAAAGCATGTCACACACAAAAATAATTTACACATTAGATATAAGTTTTTTAATGAGATAGTGATGGAATCCCACGCCCATAATAAAAGGATAAAAAAAAAAACATTGAGAATTTAAGTCAAACCCAAAAAGTTGACTTACAATAATTTTCTACTTTTTTGTATTTCTTCAAATAAAAATAAAGACTCAAAAAACCCTTTTCACATTCACATATTTTTAGCTTGATTAATGGTTTTTTTTTATATATATAAAAAATATAATTTGGTTATTAATTTTTATATCAATTCTAAAATTTTAATTAGGTTATTAATTTTTGTAAATAAATTTTCAATTTTGTGTTTTATACCATCTTAAAAATTTAATTTTGTCTTTATTTATTTATTATATATATATTTCTTAAACAAAACAAATTTAAATAATAATAAAAGCAAGCAATTAATGTGATTAGGTACATAATTGAAAATAAATCAATCCAATATTCTCTCTCTTCCTCTCCTTGATTGATGGGAACAAAAATTTGCATATTTCTTTGTTTCTTCTACTCCACTTTGTATTTTCATAAACTTACTTTAATTACATTTCAACTACCAAACTGTAGTTGCTTCAACCTACCCATTATAACTTTATTTTTTTTTTGTTCATTTTCTTAATTAAAACATTATTTTAGTATCATTATATTTATTCTCGTGTCTATTTTACAATATATACTTGAAAATAAAGTTAATTTTTATCGAATTTGATTAAATAATAATAATTTATATATAATATAACATCAAATTTGTCAAAGAAGAAAATAGAAAAAAAAAATGAAAGTTAGAAATAAAGTTTTTGGTCACAAAAGTCCACCGTATTTTCCACTTTATTTTATTTATATAAAAAAAAAAACTATAATTTTAAGTTATCATATTTTTATTGAATAATCATTTGGGATTAAGATAAATTAAATTAACTTAGTGAGAGTAGGCGACCTTAAACGTTGAATCAAAATACATTATCCTTGTGATTAAATTAACACAAATTAAATTAAATTAAATTAAATTAAACCGACTTTTTTTTTTTTTTTTGTATAATAAGAATATAAATATATTGAATTTTTAAAATTAAAAAGAGAAAAAGTCAGTCAAAACACAAAGTAGTCAAAAGACATAAAAAAAAAAGAAAAAAGAAAAGAAAATAATTCTCTCTCTCTCCTCTCTCTCTCTCTAGGTTGGGGTGTATAAAAACATCCATATCTCTGTCTCTCAAAGTGCATCATTCACAGGAACATACTCAGCAAGAACAGAGGAACGCCACAGAGAAGAATCACTCAGCCATTTTCAGCCATTTTCGGCCATGGATTGGTTCTCATGGCTTTCAAAAACGACCCTAGATCCTTCTCTCGTCTATGAATATGGCCTCGCCTTATCCCACAACGAGCTCGAACAGGAAGACATCGTTTATTTCAACCACGAATTTCTCCAGAGCATCGGAATCTCCATTGCCAAGCACCGTCTCGAGATCCTCAAGCTAGCTCGCAAGGACGGCGCTCTCCATCCTCGCCCGATCACTCGTCTCCTTCTCGCAATCAAGAGAACCAAGCGCTGTTTCGCCAAGTTGATTCGCAATTTCTCTGTCCATGATGGAGACGACAGCAAAGCCCTAGTCGTCGTCCCTAAATCGACCTATTCTGGGAAATTGCTGAAGAGGAATAAGAAATTGATGGTCGCGAAACAGCAAGGGAGGTTTCTACTCACTAATGGAAGTCCAGCGCCAGGTGTGTGGCCGCGAATCGAGAGCTTCTCCGGTCCGCTTGTGTACGATCTTCGCCGGGATGAGAAAAAGGAGGAGGAGGAGGATGGTTGCTGGAGCAATGGCGTTGAGGAGATCAGGTGGGATACGATGTTTCAGAATTTGAAACCTACCTAAGTCCTGAAAATTGTGTTGACATTAGAATTTCGAATTCTTAGCCAGATTTTAAGATCAAAATTTCTAGTATGATTTTAGAAACATTTGTAGATTTCAGTTGTTTCTGTTTTGGATTTCCCCAATTCTATTGTTTGGGTTAATTTGATGGTGAGAGATAGGTTTTTGTGTTCTACCACCAACACTAGGATTAGAATTTAGTATATTACTAAGGCTTGGGAATTGGGAATTGGGAATTGGGAATGCTTCATTTTGTTTGTTTCTTTTTTAGTGGTGGGTCTAGCAGAATGCAAGCTTTAGGAACAAGGCTCTGATTCAAAATCATGTTGTCTTCTCTTTTATTCTTCACTTTTCTTGAACAATCATTCATGCCCTTTAGGTCTCTTTTTCTAACAGGCATGAATTAGATCTTGATTTTGTTTAGGAGATCATAATCTCTGCCAAACCCAGCTTTTGTTCTTGTGGCTTGAGGTTTGTAATGTTATGTTGTAATATTGATATGTCATTATTCTCAGTTAATACCATTTTCTTAGCTCTTTGCAGTATACTGTTCCTGTTTTTTTCTTTCTCAAGACAACTTTTTCTTTGCTGAGAAATTTTGTTTCTTACTGTGGAAGAAAGTTTGATGTGCTTTGATTACTATGGAGAAATCATCAACTTTGACAACTATGTTCAAACTTTCAAGCATCCCCACTCTGTCTCTCTCGAGTTTTTCGGTGAGATCTCGTATGACGGGAGATGAGAATAAAAACATTTTTAGAAGGGTGTGGAAACCTCTCCCTAATCAACACGTTTTAGAACTGTGAGACTGACAACGATACATAACGGGCCAAAATGGACAATATCTATTAGCGGTGGGCTTGAACGGTTACAAATGGTATCAAAGCTAGACACCGGCGGTGGGATAGTGAGGACGCGTGTGCCTAACCATTCATGGGTTAGTCCAATCCAAACCTATTCTGAAATTTCTTTTGGTATCCCATTTCATTTATAGTTAATAGTTACAGCATTAAGATAATACAAGTTGGCCAAAGCCAAGAGAATCCTCTTCCAAACATCAATAAACTGTACTTAGAGGCAAGCGGAATGAACCACTGGAGTAAAGCATTCGATAGACTGGCCTCAATCGAATTGTAAGAATTAAGCTTAAGATCGAACCGAACCCCGCCACGCCTGAAAGAACGAAAAAAGTGATTCTAAAACACTGTTGGCCGATGCAGGTTATCGAACCTTGCTTCGCAGCCTCAATGTCGTATAAAGTACTGGCTAGAAAAACTGAGAAAAGAGCTGCTCCAATTGGATTCCCCAGCAGCATGAAGTTTAAGATCACTCCAAAGTTCTTGAGGCCAAAAATCTCAGATGCCATAGGGATCATCATAGAATATAGAACTCCAAAACTGATACCAGTGAAACCTGTGGCAATGTAGAGAGTACCCGTGAGGCCAGACGCATATAGGAGGAATGCTATAGCCATGAGTATCAGTGCAAACATCATCCACAGCGACCGTGGTATTGTTCTTGACCTGCATTGAGCAACCATGGGCGAACCAATGAGCAAAACACTCGACCTGCTTTTGTAAACAGAAAACCAAAGTAATTTACCTGACGAAGTGTTCGGAAATAACACCGGAGCCTAAACGACCGATAAAGTTGCATAAGCTGAAAAGAGCCAACAGCAACGTCGAGTCGTTAACACCTAAAGAAATCCCAATTTGAGACAAATTGTTGAGAATCGTTATTCCCGGACCGACCCCGAGGAAGTACGAGAACCAAAGCAGCCAAAAATCAGCTTTGATAACAGCTTCATGGAAATTGAAATCTTCCCCTCTTTTAGGTCTTCTCTTCTCCTTATGAATGCCCCCCTCTCCTAAAGCAAGAAGTGTTTCTGCATCTGATCCATCATCATCATTCTCATAGAAACTTCTAAGATTTGTAGATGAGGAAGATGGTGTCAATAAGGGTTCTATTTCGGACGACGAATCGCTTTCTCCAGAAGCTAAAGCTTCGGCAGATTCAACTTGAGGCTCGAGTTTCTTCGTCTTTGTAGAACAAATGGTCATTTTTATGGGAACTGCAAGAGGAGACATTAACAGAACAACCATTATGGCAACTAAGAGGTATGCCACAGCATCACTAGGGGTGGTTTTTGCATATAGAATTGTGGTGGAGACTAGAAAAACAGCTAGCGAGACACAAGCAGCTTGTGTGAAAAGAAAATGGCCACGCTCAAATGGATCCTCTGAAGCAGCCGGAGTACAAGGCCGAACAAAGTACATCAAGGCTATGCCAAAAATGGGTATCCCTATTGCAAGAAACAGCAGCAAATCCGAAGCTGACTTCCTGAAAATCAAGCTGTATATCACTGTGTATACAGCAGCACCAAGCCCGGCATAGCCTTTCAGAATGCCAGCAACAGTACCTCTGCTGAGCGGGAAGTTCCTCATGTTGGTTACCAGCACAGCCGTTGCGAACCATGCATTGCTATTTGTAGCAATACAATGTGTGAGAAATAGCTGCCATCACACGCAGAAGTAAATGTTAAAGCACATCATGTAGGGGAGAGCGTAGGATTATTGGGAGTGAGTCCACATTGACTAATTTAGGAAATGATCGTGGGTTTATAGGTAAGGAATACATCTCCACGGATATGAGACATTTTGGGAAAGCTCAAAATAAAACTACAGAAGCTTATTGCTCAAAGTGGACAATATCATACAATTGTGGAGAGTCGCGATTTCTAACGTGGTATCAGAACCATGCTCTTAGCTTATCCATGTCAATAGAATCCTCAAATGTCAACAAAGAAGTTATGGGTCTTGAAGGTGTAGTCAAAAGTGACTCAAGTGTCACTTTGTTCGAGGACTCCAGAGAAAGGAGTCGAGCCTCGATTAAGGGGAGGCTGATCGAGGGCTACATAGGCCTCCGGGGAGGCTTTATGGTGTGTACTTTGATTATGGGTTTATAAGTAAGGAATACATCTGGATTAGTACGAGGGATTTTGAGAAACAAAATGTAAAGCTGCTAGACCTTAGGCTCAAAGTAGTCAAATATCATACCATTATGGGGGAGAGTTGGAGAGTTGAGTTAAAAGATTGAACTCACCAGCCAATAAGGCATACTGGGGAGAGTTCTGCTAACAGCAAGCCAAATAGCTCCATAGCCCAGAAAGCAACACACAGAACCAACCAAAACCAATGCCCAAGGAGGAAATATGTTGCAAGCAAGTCCAGGAAGCAGCCCCACGCTCTCCCCTATGTCATTAGCCACTCCGAGTATCGTAAGCTGCTGCTGATTCAAACCCAGAACGGATTTAAGGAAATGGGAATAAAGAGAAAAGTTATAAGAAGAAGCACTAGCTATTTGAACCCAAACAGCAGCAGCCAAGCCCACCCATGGCGGCCTACTTCCCCCTTTCAAGACCAGCTTCAGCATCCCCTTAAGTTCAGGCCAAAACCCTCAAAAGAACAACAAAAACCCAGATGGAAAAAGGATTGAATCGCTAGTTTTGAGTGTTCGAAAGGGTTTATAAAGGAGAAATTGAAACAGGGTTTGTTAGATAAGTTAAAATTTTGAAGCAATTTAAGGGTTCGGTGCGAATGGACAATGGCGTGGACGCCGCTGTCAACAGAACACGCAGTCCTAGGAAGGCAAGAACCACTTCAACATTGTGTTGTTTTCTTCTTCATCATGCCCGTTGCTCGATCCTCCTTCCACAGCTTCTTCAAATCATGACATGTTTTTAATCTCTAAATTATAAATTAATTTATTTATCATTTTAAAATAAATATATGTAAAAAGACAAATAATAAAATAAAGAACACGTGCATGGAATTAATATTTATGCAAATAAGGTAATGTTTATTAATTTGGTAATGTATATTAATTTTATTTTCTTCTTAATTATTAAAATTATTGGATAAATGAGTGATAATTGGGTAAAAAAATGGAATGTGGGTCCCACGTGATTTTTTAGCAAAGAATAATTTAAATAAAAAAGTAAAATTTGACTTAAAATTGTGAAATTGTGAATTTTGTCGAAGTGGAATCTTACGCAAAAAAAAACGAATAAATAGAGAAAAGAGAAGCCAATCGCTGCAACTCCCACAGCGCATTCTTTGCGCATTTCTTTATCTCACTGTTCCGAGCTCTCTGCTTTCTTCATCCATGGCGGCGGCGGCGACTCTGCATCTCAACGCAAAGCCATCCAACTTTTTCTCCCCATCTATTAGTCTTTCGAAGACATCGCCCAAGCTTTTCCGAGTTACTTGCTCTGCTGGAACTTCTCCTTCCCGGCGTTTCAATATCGCTCTGCTTCCTGGTGATGGTGTTGGCCCTGAAGTTATTGCCGTTGCGAAGGATGTTCTCAATCTCGCTGCTTCGCTTGAAGGTCCCTCTAATCTGTCTTTGTTTCTCCATTTTCATTTTCATTTCTGTTGGGACGCTGTTGGAGTTGCGTGAAGAGAATTTATGATGCTTGTTTGATTTTGGTGTTGCTTTTGTGTTATATATGGTAGTGTTTGGGTCTATGTATTGTCGAAGGAATACTGGATTCTTTAATTTAGACGTTCAGTATATGGATTTCTTTGTAATTATGTGCATTGCAATCAGATTGAAGACAGTAATAGGGATTAATTGTTTGCTGAAACGAACTTAGGAAATTGCGAAGAGCTGAAGAAAGTTGAAGGAGTTTCCTTTCTGCGTCATGTTGTAAAATTGTTGGGTGAGATATTTTTTCGTTTCGATTTTTGATGAGATTGGCTTCCGTTTCGTTAGGGATTGGATTTGATTACAAAGAGATGCCTGTGGGCGGAGCTGCACTTGACTTGACCGGGGTTCCATTGCCAGATGAGACGCTTATAGCAGCAAAGCAATCTGATGCTGTTCTATTTGGCGCAATTGGAGGGTATTTATACTTATATCTTGTGCTATTACATTGATTTCTTCCTTAAAAACTGTTTTAACATCTCATGGCTGTTTCCTTTTATTAAGGTACAAATGGGACGACAATCCAAAACATTTGAAGCCAGAAACTGGGTTGCTTCAACTTCGGAAAGGTCTTGAAGTATTTGCTAATTTGCGACCTGCAACTGTCTTTCCTCAGGTAAATTTCTATGGTATCCTCCCCCACTATTATTTTGGCCATTAAATTACTTTTTTTAGGGACTTGAAACCTTTGCTCTCACGGACTGTAGACAATGCCTCAACTATTAAGCTATGTTCATGCATGGCCAAGACATTTTGGCATGAATATTCCATATAACACATCAAACAGGTGTTTCAGTTATTTGAAGACAGGGGAAAGTAGTGTGGTTTGAAGCCCTATATTAGCCTTGTTACATGTTAATGCTAGACCTAGCCTCATGGAAAGAGGGATAGATTCAAAATCATGAATTAATAATGACATGACCTAATATGTTGGCATATTTCAGTGTCAAGTTGGCAGAACTACTTTTCATTGCTTTGTATTATATTCAGTGGTCAGTTTGCTTATACAACTGTTACTCCTAAATGAAACATGAAAGCATATACCAGTAATAATTTTCATTGAGATGCATAAATTCGTGTGCGGTCCTGTGAGTTTGTGAGGATTCACCTGTTGATAAAAGGTTAAAGTCTTATATGTGGTACTCTATTGCCTATTGATTATTCCATTTCTTACCCTTTCAGTTGGTGAACGCTTCAACTTTGAAGAGAGAGGTTGCTGAAGGTGTTGATCTCATGGTCGTAAGGGAACTCACTGGAGGTAAAATTTTTCCCCTCCCATATGAAACGTGGTTCCATGCCTTGATTTCCTTCCATTTCTCAATTTTGGGGTTTTGAATAAAGGTGCCATGATTTCTTCCACCTGTATTAGGTATTTATTTTGGGCAACCAAGAGGTTTTAAAACCACTGAAAATGGGGAAGAAATTGGATTTAATACTGAAGTGTATGCAGCACATGAGGTAATTTCTTTTTTTTCTATTTTTTTATTCTTCAACCATAAAAAGCATTGCTATTTGATATAAATCTTAAATTAGAAGATTAGTTGTTCTACATTTCTTTTTCTGGAAATTAAAATTACATGTTTAATTTGTCTCCATAACCCAAATAAGCCCCTTCTTATTTTATGAACTATATATGATCTTCTATGTCAGATTGATCGGGTTGCTCGAGTGGCATTTGAGAATGCTCGGAAGCGACAAGGAAGAGTTTGCTCTGTGGATAAAGCAAATGTGTTGGAGGTGCGTAAGCCTTTGATCAGTTTTTTTTTCCCTTGAGAGAACAACCTCAGACCATTCATTTATTTTGCTAGAAAGAAGTTCAAAGTTCAATTTTGAGAATGGCTGTCTCGTCCAAATTTCTCCAAATTTTACTGAAGAGTAATGATTAAGATCAAGCATTCAGTTTAGGATTTCCCTACTTTATTTATATATTTACATTTCAGCTCAATATATTATGTACGGTCTATGAATTTTAGAAACCTTACTATAGAACTAACTATTGTGCAGGCATCAATGCTTTGGAGGAAAAGAGTGACAGCAATTGCTGCAGAATATCCTGATGTCGAACTCTCGCATATGTACGTTGATAATGCTGCAATGCAGCTAATTCGTAATCCAAAACAGGTCTGCATTTAAAAGTGATCTTGTTGTCGAGGAGCTATGAATTTCATAGCTCTTCTGATAGGAAAGTTGAGTTTCATTGGGACTGATTTTGGAAATTTGCAGTTCGATACAATTTTGACAAACAACATATTTGGTGATATTTTGTCGGATGCCGCTTCCATGATTACTGGAAGTATTGGGATGCTTCCATCTGCAAGTCTTCGTGAATCGGTAGTCAAAATCACTCTCTTGCATTGTTATTCAAAATCCTTCTCTTGCATTGTTATTCTGGTTTTTGAAAGAAGTTGTGCATTTATCTGGTGATCTAAACTTTTTACATTTCCCTTCTAATAAAATTAATCGTTTGCACAGGGACCTGGACTTTTTGAACCTATACATGGTTCAGCTCCTGATATTGCTGGACAGGTTTGTGTTGTTAAAAGATCAAAATAATTTCCTAAGGATGCAAAGTGTTATGCTATGAAATGACATGGTGTTGTCTGTAGGATAAGGCAAATCCATTGGCAACAGTTCTCAGTGCTGCTATGCTTCTTAAGTACGGCATTGGTGAAGAAAGTGCTGCCAAAAGAATTGAGGCTGCAGTTTTGGATACTCTAGAAAGAGGATTTAGAACCGGTGACATATACTCAGCTGGATGTGTACGTAACTTTTCTCTTGCTCTCTCTCTTTTACTTTATTGTAGTCGTTGCATCCGGTTAAAGGTATAGATATCAACCTAATCAAACTGATGCCTACCAACAAGACCAGAACATCTGGGGGGGGGGGGGGGGGGGGGGGGGAA